CTAAAGATAATATACATACAGTCCACCACCAGTCCAAGGTTTTCCTAGCTTAGAAGGACTTGTCAGAGCTGGTGCTTAGCCAGTATGTCCTTTGAGAAATACCATACAGTAAAGAACCAAAGTAGGACTTTTATCCTTTTATCATTTATCCTCTTCCTGCATCAGTTTTCTTATCTGTAAAACAGGGATAATAATAACATCATACCTCCCAGAGTTGTTTTGGGGGTCAGAAGATGTAATATTTGTAAAGTACTTTGCCAACTTTAAAGCACTATAAAAAACTATTATTATTATTATTAATAACTGAACCAACTCTAAAAACTGTGATTTTAGTGTTTATTTAAGACTATGTGTAATACCATAAGGGAAAACAAGAGAAATATAAGGCATTGTATTTGCCTTTGGGTTGTTTATCAACATGGCTGGATAAATGAGACACACAACAAACCATCCACAAACAATAAATACTAGGTAGTGTATAATGAAGTGTTAGGATTTGAGGAATACATTATGAATGATAGAGATGTTCAGGAAAAAAAAAGAATGAATATGTACTAGGGCATTCAAAGAGAGGTCCATGTAGGGACTGGACCACAACTTGAATCCTAAAGAATATGGAGTATTCAGAGCGGTGGGGAAAGACATTCTAGGTAGGAGAGACTAAATTAATGATCTAACAAAGTCAGTGCAACTTTGGAAGGTTTATGGTCAGGAATCTTTTAGGAACTGGGAACATGAAACTATGTATTTTGGTAGTCAGAAACTGAACTAACTTAGGAAGCTTCTTTGCATATCATTAATATTATATGGCACTGACATTTTGGCAGAAATTTTACCGAAGTCTTATAGCTTATGTATATTTTTTTATATAGGATCAAACAGCTATTCTAGAGAGTTTCATTTACCTTATCCCCTCAACTATGTGAAAATGTATGCCTATGGACAATTTTTTGTCTAGTGAGATAGTTCTTTTGAGTACAATAGGAATATTAATACATTCACTTTTGACCTCTGGGGGTTGCTGTATAGTTCAAATGAGATGATGTATAGACAGGTGTTTTGTTACTATCAAGTGCTATATATAATACATACATATATAGTGCTATATATAATATATTATATCATATCATACTGTATATTATATATAGCACTATATTTTTATATATAGCTATCTACACAGTGCTATATAATATAGGTATCAAGTGCTATATATAATATATATTACTATATATAATAGAACCATATATTATATATAGCATTATATTTATATATAGTTCTATATAGTGCTATATATAATATAGCTATCAAGTGCTTTATATAATACCTACATATATAGCTATATATAATATAGCTATCAAGTGCTATATATAATACATATATTGCTATATATAATATAGCCATATATTATGTGTAGTACTACATTTTATATATAACTATATATATGGTGCTATATATAACATGGTTATCAAGTCCTCTATATAATACACATACACACACATAATGCAAAAGAGTTAAATACAAGGGAGTTTGGGAGGTAGGCTCTAGCCAATTTGAAGTGATCAGGAAAAGCAGAAGGTCTTATTTGAGATGCACCTTGCAGAAAAAGAGGGATTTTAGGAAGTGGGGTAAGGAGGGATGACATACCATGCATGGGGGGAAACCAGTGCAAAGGCATAAAGACAAAAGGAACTGAGAAAAGACTTGTTTGCCCAGATTATAGAGTACGGCAAGGGTGTGATGTATAACAAATTTGGGAAGATAGATTGGAAGCATAGTTTTGATGGGCTTTAAAAGGTAAACACAGGAGTTTCTATTTGATTCCAGTGGCAACAGAAGCCACAGGGGTTTTCTGAATAGGGGAGTGACAATGGTTACATCTGCAGTTAAACAGAATGGCTTTAGTGACAGTACTGAAGCTGGAATGAAAATGCCTTATGGCAGGAAGACCAAAGAAGTGACTGGAAATAAGCTGGGTGAGAGTTGATGACGGTGTGAGCTAAGTAGAGAGAAGGGGTCACACAGAAAGATGATATAGATTGATGCAGAAACAAGATTTGGCTACTTGTTGGATATGAGGAGTTGAGATAACTTATGAATCTGGGAAACTGGAAGAATGGTTGTGTCTGGCAAAAATAAGGAAGTTTGGAAGAGGTGTTTTGGGGGAATGAAAATGAGTTCTGTTTTGGATTTACTGAGTTTGAGATAATAATACCTAATGTATACATAGCACTTTTAAGTTTTCAAAACTTTTGACATACATTATCTCATTTAAGCTTCCCAACTTCTGGATACTAGAGGTATGCTATCCCCATTTTACAGATAAGGAAACAGGCTCAGAAAGGTTAACTGGTGGGCAAAGATAAGGGCAAAAGATGAATCAGTAATTAGAGGTTATTTTGTTCAACTCCAACCTTTAACAGGTGAGGAAACTGAAGCCCAGAGAAGGCATGCTTGACTTGTCCAAGATCATACAGACAGCAGAAACACCCTTAATGTGAAATTGTGGCAACAATCTGATGCAGCTTTTTGATTCCATGCAGAGTCTGTGTTCTGTACCGGAAAGAGCTATAGGTTTGGAATTGGAAGACCAGGTTGTAAATCTTCAACTCTGCTGCCTCACTCCTGTGCCTTGTGACCTTGGACAAAGCCTTCAGTTTCTCTTCTGTAAAAGGCAGCAGTGGCCCTAGACGATCTCTAAAGTGTTCCTTCACTCTAAATCCTAGGCTTCCTCTCTAGTGCTTGGTGATTACATGGTAATATTTCTCTTTTACTGCCTACAAATATAAACATCTCGTTCCAGAAAGGTTTCTCATAAAATGTAAAAAGGTAAGGATGAGGAAGAGAAACAGAAACACATTTTATGTGCAAATGCTGTCTCTAAGGATAGATTTGAACTGGTCTCCTCACAGGTAGTTCCCTATGGAAATAACAGAACAGAAAGCACTCACTCCAGAAACCAAGATGACAGTCAGTCAACAAGCATGTATTATGTGCTTACTACATGCCACGCTCTGTGTGCTAAGCATTGACAATTTTTTTAAAAGGCAAAAAAACAAAAACAAAAAACCAACTCATCCCTACCCTCAAAGAGTTTACATTTTAATGTAAATTATATTCTAATTTACATTCAACAGGTAAATAACTAATTACATACAAGATATGTACAGAGTAGGTGGAAGGTAATCTCAGAGCGAAGGAATAAACAACTGGAGGTAAGTAGGGGAATGGAAAGGCCTCCAGGAAAAAGGTAGATTCAATTATTTGATCAACTGGGATAATATTTTTAAAGCATTTAGTGTAGTGCCTAGCATATAGTAGTGCTATTTCCCTTTCTTTTCCCTTTTTCCTCTTCCCTTCCCTTGTCTTCCCTTCCCCCTTGTTTAAGAACATGACATAGAAAATAAAGAAGTGATGACCAAGATGCGTACTGAGAATGAAGCAAGTTTACTCCCACACTCAACCTAGGAAACTTTCCTCTAAGTCACCAAAAATTCCTGGAGTTCCCTTTCCTATCTGCCGGATTTTTTTTTTTAACCAAGAACTTGGGACTTCTTCCTGGATCCGTCCACCTCCCATTTGCCACACAAACCTCAAAATCTCATTGGTTTCCTTCTCTTTTCCAATCACTCATTCATTGTACAAATGAGGAAATGAGACCCGAACGGTTGGTAAAATTTCTTATTTTTCCCCATTATATCATCTGGTAGAGACATATGGTCACAAATTCTCAGAACAAAAAAGGACCTTAGAGCTCTAATGAAATTGAGAGTCAGAGGTCCTTGGTTCAAATTCCAGCTCTGTTACTTACCTGTGTGATCTTAGGCAAATTATTCACCTTTCAGGTCTCACTTTCTCATTTGTACAAAGAATGAGTGATGACTCGTAAAGTCCCTCTGAGCCCTGGATCTGTGAACCTATGACCATTATAATCTCTTACTAAACTAGCAGTCCTCTCTGCTTCCCCCTTGTGTCCATGCCCCTCTGACCATGCCCCTCCCATCGCATCACTATGTCCAAATGCTACTGCACAGGCAGCACACCTTCACATTCTTTATAACAATTCCAATTTCACTTCCTTTCACTTGTATGTCTCAAGAATTCACCTAAGGCAAAGAACCTTTTGGCTGGTTGATGATATAGTCTGGGTTGCTTAAGCGATTTTTTTTCATAGAGCCCAAACCCTAGCAAAGTTGTTATAATTCTCTTTTTCTGAAACATAGTAAAGTTCTAAGTGACTGTCCCAAATAATGAAAGGAAATGTTAACATTGCAACTTGAACAACCTTCTTTCAAATAGTTAATTTCTTTTCAAAGCTCATCTCAAATGTTATCTCTTCCATGAGGACTTTCCTGACTCTCCCAGCTACTTGCACCACCCCACCAAGAAAATGATCTTTTAAAAATCTAAGATTTTTACATATTTAAATATGTATATGTAGTCTAATTTGATAGAATGAAAATTCATTGAGAGTAGTGACTATTTCATTTATGCCTTTTCATCCCAACCACCGAGTACAGTGTCCAGTGCATAGTAGGCATGTAATAAATGCTTGTTGATTGGTTGAAACTAGTTAGCTTTTTTTTTTCTGGCTGCACCTGGGGTATCCAAGTGCTATACTTATTTCCCCAAAGGGGAAGTGAAGGAAAAGAGGATTAGCAACTTGCCCCCAAAGTATGTGGGCTCTGACTAGAATGAAAGCCAATATAAACTACTGTGGTTTTATATAATTATGGGAAAATACATTACTTTTTACATAAAGAACCTCCCAAAACAGTTGAAGAAGAAGGTTCTTTCAGAAACTCACTTAACTTTCCATACTCTAAAATATATTCTGAAATATAATTTCCAATTGACCATAGGTCTCTATGCTACACATTTGGTCTTTCTGCCCATTCCTCACCCCAAGCCCTTTTCCCTCCTAGTCAGATTCTTATATGGAAGGAATTGGGGAGTTGACAGATTTGCCCCTGTCACCTTTGATACCCTACAATTCAAGTTACCTGAGAAGCTGTTGACAGCATCTTCGGCTTCCAGAAGCCCTCTTTGTTTGGTCCCCTGCAGCTCACTTTTGGATTTCCAAACAAGCTTTACCATCCTGATCATCTCTGGCAGCTCCCAGGTCAATGGTCCCTGCTGATAGTCTGGCCGGCTGCCCATGGATGGGGGCAGTAGACCTTCTCGTGGAGTCCACCTTCTGTCCAGTTCTGCCGAGTTAAAACATCGATCTAGCACAGGCATTCTGCCCTGTTCTCCAGAGGTGCTGCCGCCGCCGCTGCAGCAGCTGCTGCTGCTGCTGTTGCAACCAGAGGGGAGCTTCTTCACAGGCACGGGAAGACGAACGCGAGAAAAAGAAAAATCATGTCCAGCAACTGAAAGGGAAGGCTTCTCCAGCCCTGCGGGGCAGGCAGCGGCACTGCCCCTTTAGTCTCTCAACAAACTCTGAGGGGAGATTTACTTCCCAAGACTCCTCGCTGATGAGCGATCTCAGTCACTGTACTTCTCCTTCCTTAGATATAGAATGCGTTCCCCCCCCTCTCTCCCAGGCACTGAGTTCACAACACTTAATTAATCCCAGGCTACAGCTGGAGTGACAGCAGGGGAAAAAAAGCCACCGAGGTTTAGCGCTTGCTTTTCCTCCTTTTCCCTTCTTCATTGATCGAGTCTTTCTTTTCTTTTGGTTCTTCTCAAAGATTGTCCAAACTGCTACAACGCACCAGAGAAATCCGTGAATTGGAATGGGGCTTACTTCTCCTTCATTGTCCTATCCGTAGAGGTCTGTTGTCTGAGGTTCTCAGGTGAACAGCTGCTGATTTAGTAAACTGAAAAAACTTCACCAAACCATGCCCTGCAGCCTGAAGGAGTCCTCAATAAACAGAAGAAAGCTTGAACAGTCCAGCCTAACCAGTTCACAGCTGCCTCTCTCTGGACGGCCTGGCAGGGGGCCATCTCTCTCCTTTCCACTAATGACTGCATTATGATGAAGATATTAAGAAAGCTGTTTGAATTTATCCACAGCAACACAATTAAATACTGCAATTCCTTCTTTCCCCACCCCCTTCTCCGTTTCTTCTCCTTGCTGAACCTTGGTTTTCAGCAAACCTAAAGGGGTTTTTGACCTATTAGTCAAATCCCTTTGTAACCTCAGCTGCCCTTCAGCTGGAAGGGGAATAACATTGATTCACATTCCTAAGCTAACTGTGAAAGAAGTGAATTAGGGAAACATCAAGATCTGCATGCATAAGTCCGATGCTGTTGTGTAATCTGAACAAATAACTCAGACAGTTTTAGTCCAGTTTCGAAGAAAAGTAGCAACAGTTCAAAAATATATATACAAGAGACTGAAAAAGACTATGGGGCATGTCTGGCAGGCAGTGAGAAAAGAAGAAAAGTAGCAGGGGAAAGTCACTTTCCCAGGAGATAGCACTGTGGACTTCAGATCTGGGCCCCAGAACTATTGGGCCTCCACCTGAGACAGGTTCATCCAAGGACGATCAGGATGGGTTTAACAATTTCTCTGTAGTTTAGAGATACAAGCCCAAACCCTGGAAGTCAAAAGCCTATATATATGTGTATATATATATATATATATATATATATGTATATATATATGTGTGTGTGTGTGTGTGTGTGTGTGTATGTATATGTATATATACACATATATATATATATATTTATAAAAGGAACACATCCCTGTAGATGATTTGAAAAGCCCTGAACATAAATGTAAATGAGGCAGTATTGTATTTGGCACTTTTGCCAGCAAGTAAGGTTTATAGGAACATTTTGAACCCAAGTATTCACATGTACATCCCTTATTTTCCTGTAGCATATTACATCTTTCCCCTTGCATCCCTGCATTGCAAAATGCTTTATTTTCCTTGGCATTTTCTTTTGCTGATGTACAATCAGTTGTCCCTGATCTACATTCCTTTTGGGGCTGGTTTATCATACAAAAATCTGTTCTTTCTTCAGGGGTGGAGAAGGAAATTTAGGGGAGAGGAGGAGGAAGACTGTCAGGAGACTTTTATTTTTACTCTCTCTCTTTTTAAAGGAGGCTGCTGAAAGCTTCCTTAATATGTTTTCTTATTATTCTTATTCCTCTCAACCCATGGCTAATAAGTTTGGTTTTTCCACACTGAATTCAGTGACTTATCCCCTTTTTTTTTCCAGATGGAAAAGTACACTGGCAAACAAACTCTATCTTTCCTCATAGATGAAGAAGACCCAAGTGAGTGTGCTGAAATATAAAAGTATAAACATATGAAAAAGGCACCTGGTGCCTTCTCTTTGTGAAGTTTGTGATCAAAATATTAATAAAGCACTTACAATTATCATACCTAAGCATTTGGATAACCTAAATTTGGAATGTTCAATGATCTGCTCATAAGAAAAACATACCTTTCCTCATTTCTTTTTTCCAGGCGTAGGTGAGAGGTATCAAGCACTAGCTTGATGCTTTCATTAATTTTTTTTAACAACCATTGCTACTTTTATTTTATCATTCCCATTAAAACTTGAGACATTAAAGCTTTCTAGAAATTAGATTTTAAAAAAAAATTAGCTGCACATGAACTAATGGAGCTTACTTGCATTTTATCTAGATAGGATCTTAAACTCATTCCACAAACTTCCCTGATGATACCAACCCAAAGGCTTCCTAAGCATCTGATTGTTTTTATTTTTGTTCATTTATTTTGCCATAGTCATGAGTATCAGGATATCCTGACCATTTGAACAAAGGGGTTAAGAACAAAGAAAACAAATATATGATATTATATGTCACACACTCTAATGCACTAATACAACTCTCTGGTTACACATTTATACAAGAATAGCATTTTCTTTTATCAAAGATTATATAATTTCCATTGTAATTTTTTTTATTGTTTTACACATTTCCTCACAACAAACATGGAGAAGTTATCAACTGATAGATCATTGAAGATGAATCCTTACTAACAGGGTTAAATGTGATGGCTTAGAAAAGAATGAATATTGATTTCAATTGTTACCCCTGAGGAGGAATCAAGCCTGTTAGAAGTTTTGAAAAATGAAAATGCTCATTTTTAAGAATTCCCTTCTTATTTTGTGAGGATCAGGGAAAGGACTCTATATCGTCTTCATCCTGGACTAGAGGTTCAAAAATACCACAAGAAAGGTCATTCTCGTGGTATTTCTGGCTCATCTAGAAACAGGAAGCACAGGAAATCTTGCGAGAAAGTCTGGCTCAAGAGATTTTTTGGCTCAACTTTTCAGACCCAAGAGATTGGGATGGTTCAAATAAGCTTCAGATAAACAGACAGCGTTTCAGCACTTGTCTGAGTCTAATCTTTCAATTTCAGTCATTTTTCTCCTAACTAGTTTCAATGAAATTGTGTGGCTACCATCTTCCAAGTTGTGCTGACCAGTGTCTTAAACAACAACAACAGCACACACAAAATGACCTCCTCTTCATTTGTTCATCCATCGCTAGAAAAGTCTGGATCTGGAAACTTGGACCACAAAGACCTTGGAGAAATAAATTAGAGGAGATGAGCTATATGGAAAAGTAATCCCATTATAAAGGAGTCTTCTAATCCATGTGGCTTATTTAATGTCTCTTTCATATTTTGAGTTCTGAAATTAAGATTCCATAAAATAATAAGATTTCAGATGGATTATATGCAGAATCTCAAAATAGACTCTTTTCTTTCCAGATACCATAAGTAAATTTGAGCATTGCTTCTGGCAAAAAGTTGTTCCTCTTTCTCTATGTAAAAGAAAATAAAACTAAGTCCAATGGCATTAGCCCACTGCACACTCAGTTCTAACAAGGCTTCTTTCCTTTGGTAATTATGAAGAACTAAATCAGTAACCCCCACATAGCAGGGTTCAAGGAAGAAGAAAAAGTCCAGGAAATGACAGGCTTAAAAACCTGCTTTCTTGGCAGAATCTCTAAGATTTATTTTGTTTTCATTTTTTTCATGTAAGATGCAAGGAGAGATGGTGTCTGCTATGCTCACTGGTATGTCATTAGCTCAACACCTTGAAAAATAGGGTCTCAATAAATATTATTTAATGATGGCAATGATAAGTACATTGATGTGATGTACGTTCAACAATATCATGTTTTTCTGGGAACATCAAACCTGTATTTGTTTCTTTGTGTTATCTATCTTTAGATTAAGTAGAGTACATATCAATTTAGGTTTATCTAGAAATTTTCACAGACCCAAATACCACGCATAACTTCTTCTAGCAACTCAAATATTCATATTAAATAATAGCTCATTTTTATAAAGCACTTTAAGATTTGCAGAGTATTTCTATCACAAGAAGCCTGCTAATTTTACAGGTGAGTGAACTCAGTGAGTTTGAATGATCAGCTCATGGTGTGTGGCTAATGTCAGGGCCAGGATCTGAACCCAATTCTCTTGCTTCCAATTTCTTTGTGTTCTCTGCTGCCTTAGGTGACCTTTCACAGTGGACTGGTCTGAGGGACAAATAGTGAAGGCACCCAGCATGGCCAGGTTTTCTTTTCATAGTTGCAGCTCTTATCAACTCAGATCAGTAATGGGAAAAAAAAAAGTGAGTCTGTCTGACTCTGTACTCTAAACCAAAGAAACTCCAACAACATCCTTCTGGAGAAATATAAATGTAATCACTCTGGCCTTAACTAATCTCAAAGGAGCAATGCCAGCAAGCAAGCCAAATCACTCTGTCTCACAGACTAGAAAAGATTGCATATTTCCACAGCCACATGAAAACTGGGTGGGGGTTGGGAGTGGGGAAGAGGGGCAGGGGGGCCTGGAAGAAGAGAGGTGAAAGACAAGGTGACAGAGTCATCATTCCAGTTTCACAACAGGTGTCTCTTAAATATTCCCTCTTTTCTTATTCATTGTGAAGCTATGCGTGAATGGCAGTAGCAGCAGGAATGCCAGTGATTGGTTTGGTGCCAGACAGTGGAGGAAGCACCTTACGAATCTCTTTCCAGTCTCCTGGAGCTTGCCTGGCCTGCATTAACCCAGTGCTCTGGTTTTCCCTGCATGAAAGTCTCTTTCCTTTCCCTGCCTTCAACCTCAATATCCCGCCTACCCCCACCCCCAATCCCAATCTACCCCATTACTTCTCTTTCTTTCTTTTAAGAAAGAAGCCAAGGTTTTTAGTTGGCATCAGACCCTTCTCCTGGCTCTTAGCTTCCCTAACTAGTGCCAAATCTGCTGTCTCCAACGGCTCTCCCACAGCAAATCAGTCCAGTAACACAAAGACTTGGGTGGGGGAAATGACAGAAAAACTTAATTTGCTCTCCTTTGCTCCACTCTTTTCTATTATTTTTTCCCCCTATATATGTGGCCTCCCTTTCCATTTCTACCCCTAACTAGCCATTGGCTAGTTGGTCTGTGATGCTGGCATTACCCTTCCCTGATTGAGGT